TGAATAAAAAAATCTTAAAAAAAAAAGTCATCTTTGTACATTGTGTGCCCAAAAACAAAGTAATAATTCTTTAAATTCTTTATTCTTTCAAATTATGGAGAGAACAGAGTGAGGAGTCACAAACCAAAGACACAGTAATACTAGTTTTCACACTAACAATCTTTTTCTTTAAATGCATCAGTCTCAGAGAAAACAAAACCTACAGTTTTAAGCCATTGGAGAGGGGTAATTGCTACTGTGCTAAAAGCTGAAATTGATCAAAGTTAAGGTAGTTTACTCTCCAGGTCTTCCCCCTGGTAGGTGCAAAGCCTTCAGCAAACTTCTGAGTTCCAGAACAGTTACATCAGACAGCCTCTGCCAGTGCACTGTCCTCTAGATGAGGAGACCAATTTCCTGGGGCTTCCTATTCCACCATCTTCCTCGAACCCTCCTCCTGCAACCCCTAACACTGACATATCACTTGAGTATGTCCCATCACCTCCCACCTCCCCGGGTCAAGCTGTCATATAAGACTACAGCCCCAGTTAACAGTTTGCAGCCTCATGAGAGACCTTGGCAAGAGGCTCTGCTTGTCCAAACTTCAATCAGGCTCCTCCGAGCCCTTTTCTTAATGAGGCCTTGACCTTGCCCCCTTCACCTTGGCCTTGTCAGGCTTGCAGAGCCCAAGTGTAACAAGAGTTCTGTTAAGTCAGTTCAGTAAGAATCTCCTCACCCTTGATATCTAATCATATTCTTCATTCTCTACCCTTGGTATCTGATCACCTTGGCCTGGCTTCAGCAAGAATCTTGTGTCAGTTTAGCAAGAATTACCCTACCCTAGATACCTCCTCTTGGTAACTTTTTTTTCATCCACCGACCCCCTTATTACACTCGCTGGCTACAAGTCCCCATCCGTCTTTGCTGAATTTGGGTTGAGCGCAACCTTTCTCAACTTTTGATAACCTGGACACCACCTATTTCAAGAGTCCTGACTAAAGTCTTCCTTACCACATTAACAAGTATCAGAATAATTTGTTCTTTAACATCATTGAGCTAGAGGCTCTCAGCAAAGCCATCCTCAGATTTTCAACCCATAGAAACTATGAGATAATAAATGTGTGTTGTTTTGATTCTTAGATGTTGGGGTAACCTGCTACACAGAACTAGAAACTAATACGCGGTGTGTCCTGGACAGCGTGATGCAGTGTTCAAACTCTCCTTCCAGGGCTGGGGTTCTCACAATTCTATTGCCCACAGTGTTGGCTGCTAGCAGCTGAAGTTACCAGAGGTGCTTCTCCAGTTACTGCCTTTGGTAAAGAGAGCTACCTTGCCCAAAGATACACCCCTTCCCTAAGCAGTCTGCCAGCCAAGGATGTGTCCATGCAGAAACAGAAAGGCCTTGGCCTCCAATGTGGGATGACTCTAAAGGGTCATCTCAGCTCTCCAATGCCATGAAGGGTCCACTGAGATCTCTGCTGCAACTGCGTCACAATCCAACTTCTCCCTCCCCCCAGTCCTGGTGCTCTTACCTCTGTGTAGGTGCTACAGGGTCAGTCTCCAACATACCTCCTAAATGTGAACCTCTGCTTCAGAGCCTCTTTTCAGGGAACCTGGCCTAAGACACTCTGTGACCTTGAGCAAATACTTTACCTCTCTTTATCCTGGTTTCTTGATCTGCAAAGTGTCCATCCCAGAGTGCTGTTGTGAGGATTAAATGAGTTTAGGTCCTTAGCAACAGTGTCTGCCATACAGGAAGCACATACACATATTTGCTGTTATTATTATTACTGTTATCTATAAAAGAACACTCCAAGCTCCCTGCCCCCTTTCACCTCAATAAACCAGCTAGTGCACAGGTCTTGCCACAGCTGCAACCTTGGCATGCTAGAGAGACAGAGTGGGGGGCCGTGAAGTCAAAGGAGGAGAGAGGTAGGAGATGAGGTCAGAGAAGCAAGCAGGGCCTTGCTGGGCCCACGTGGGCCTTGGGTGTTAGGGTAAAGAGCTAGGATTTAAATCTAAGTAGGGTGGGAAGCCATGGCAGATTGAGAGCAAGTAAATTACACGAGTTGCTTTGGGGTTCTCAAAGCCCAAACTGGCTGCAGGGAGAGTCAGGCAAACAGAGGGAGAGAAGTGGGGACAACTACAGGGGTGATGTGCATGAAACGGGAGCTCTGGGATGGGTTTTAGGGGAGAGTCACTGGTGGATACATGTAAGGGGTGAAGCAGAGAGGAGTCAAGGACGTGTCCTAGGTTTTGGCTTGAGAAAAGTGGGCCATTGGGAACATCATCTATTCCGAGAAGGAAAAACAAGGTAAGAGCAGGTTTGGGGAAATGGAGAATTCAGAGTTCTGTTTGTAGCATGCTAAGTTTGAAATGCCTATTAGACATCCAAGTGAGATGTCAAACCAGCCATCGGATGTATGTTTGAATCCTCCTTTGACTGAGCCATAGAGCATGTAAGAAGGGTAGGAAGTTATAAATTAATATGTCCTGGGACAGAATTAAGCTGGTTGATTCCTTTAGAAGACAGGATTAATGTTATTTGCCTTATTAACTGACTACCACATTATCAACCTTTTCTTCTTCTCATAGCCATTAATAGAGAAAATGCCACATAGCACTGCAACTAGAGGGTAAGACTTGGTCTGTATGTGCTCCACAAGTCATGACTTGAATATTGAGCATATCAGTGGCTAGTAATAACCTGACTAGGGCTAAGATGGAAATTTCCAGAAATATGCAGTTAGGTATGGATGGTAGATGACACCCTAGAGGTACACAGCACGGGCCAACTTCCTTCTACAGAGCCTACCTGAGACCACCACCGTGTTCTTGGGCGCAGCCCCATGACTACTTGTGGCAAAGGAAGGGCCTTCTCACCGTAGGGTTCACCTCTTGGTAATAATAATAATTCCCCTTTTTAAAAAAACACTTTATAGTTTTCAAAATGATTTCACATAATTTGATCCATAGCCTTCATAAAACATGGAATTATCATCAGTTTACAGATGAGGAAAGAAGAAAGTCATAACTATTTTCCTACGTGTCACTGAAAATTCTTCTTAATATTAAACACGAATATTCATATCTTCTATATATTCAATTTTATCAAAGCCCCATTATTTAGTCATTTTTTTATTGGCTATTTCTCAAATTGGGTTGGTCCCAACTTTATACAACTGAAAACACCAATGGCTGGAACATCATCACATATATATATCTTCATGTAAATCTTTGTTTCTTTAAGATCTTTTAATAGAAGTGGAATTATTAAACTAAAACCTTAAACTTTCCCTACTCTGAACGGAGATGAAAGAGTATAGAGTGTTTCAAGGTCTATTCTTCCCCCTGGGTGATAGAACTTGTGGTATAGGTCAGTCTTAGAACTTGGCCAAACTGGTCACTAAAACTAGAGAGCAGTTATGTATTGGGTTTTGTGGGACTTGCTGATTTTATCCAAAAAGGTTAGCCGTATTAGTCCTTTTCCTGCAAATTCCTAGTTTTTCCTATCACCTTGGCCCAGCCCAGCTTGGATGAAATGCTAATTTACAAAGTGTATTATTAGACATAAAAGGAAATGGGCAAAGGATGGGAAGATCAGTAGGAGGAAGAAGCAACATAGTGGCTTTAAGTTTATTCATCAGTTTACAACACTTTTAAAGCAACTACTAGTTGGATGGTGGAAATTTCGAGAAAGTTGCATCACGGGGAACTTTCTGGGTATTGAGCTGGAGTAGCCAAGATGGAGTTCTGGAGGGACAAGGACGGAGAAAATGCCTTTAATGCCTTCACAGCATAGTAACAGGTAATTATCACACGTTACCTCTAAGACGTTTAATGGGTATCTCTAGCTTGACATGCCCCAAAGAGAAATCTTGATCTTCCTAAACCTGTTTTTCTTTCTCCCAGACCTCCCTAATGTAATCAGCAATACAACCATTCACCTAGTTGCTTAAGCCAAAAATCTAGGACTCATTCTTTACTCCACTCTAACCTGCTGATAGGATTCTAACCTTTTACTAAATCCTGTCACATCTACCCACACAACATTGAAATATTGTTAATTCCATTTTGGTGCAAGCACCATCATTTTCATCTACAAAGTTCCTAACCTGCCTACCCTCATTCACTCTCAAGTCTCTAATTCCTTTTCCAAAAAGCAACCAGATTGGTCTTGTAAACTTCAGACCACAACAGCTCCCTGGTTAACACCCTCTGATCGTTTTCCATTTTACTTAGAATAGAAAATAGAAAAAAAAAAATGTTCATCCCCTTCACAGCTCTGCATTTATCTGGCCCTCATCTCCTCCTGTTCATCCCCTGGCTCACTCCACTGCCACAGCGACCCCAGGACCCTCTGCTTACGATGCCTCCATGCCTCTTTGTACGATAGGGGCACCCGGGGGGCTCAGCAGTTTAGCGCCACTTTTGGCCCAGGGCGTGATCCTGGAGCCCCGGGATCGAGTCCCACGTCGGGCTCCTGCATGGAGCCGGCTTCTCCCTCTGCCTGTCTCTGCCTCTCTCTGTGTCTCTTATAAATAAATAAAATCTTAAAAAAAAAAAAGTGTTGAATGAGTGATGAATGCATGCTAGTCACAACTCTAATTGCTTTAGCCACTTGTTTCGCCCATGACCCCCAGGTGAGTGTCCATTCCCTGAAGACTGGGGATCCTGCACGTTTTGTTCACTGTCCGGTCGCCTAAGCTTTGCAAAGGGCTATCACGGTGACAAGTGCAAAGCTATATTAAGGCAAAGTGGGGGCAAGTCAAGGACTTGAGGAGCTATGGGACTACTCACAGGTAAAACTGCACCCACACAAGGACTAAAAAGGGGTGAGAACCAAGAGGACAAAGCTAAGAGCCCGGGAAGAGAAGAGATGATCTCGCGAGGTGTTGGGCAGCCAAGATGGCTTCCGGCACTTGCCGACACACCTAATATGGCGACGAGGGGGGGGGGCGTTCCTGGAGGAAGTCACGCGAGAGTTACATGAAGACTAGAGTCCGAGAATTGAGCCGGGGGTGTGGAGCCGCCAAGATGGAGCCGGCAGCCGGCGTCCCCGGCCCGCTGATCATGAACAACAAGCAGCCCCAGCCGCCGCCACCGCCGCCCCCCGCAGCCGCGCAGCCTCCCCCCGGGGCCCCGCGGGCCGGCGGGGGCCTCCTGCCCGGGGGCAAAGCCCGGGAGTTCAACCGCAACCAGCGCAAAGACTCGGAGGTCAGGCGCTTGGGGGGCCGGGGTAGCGCCCGCGGGCGGGGGGGGGCGGCTTTCGGGCTGGTCGTGGGCTCCCGTGGACTTCCCGTGGGTTCCATGGTCTCCCGTGAGCTCCCGTGGGCTCCCGTGGGGTTCCCGGAGCCCGGGCGGGCGGCACTTCACAGCGAAAGGAGCGGGGCGCGAAGCCGGCGACCCCGGCCGGGCCGAGAGCCGGCGCTCCTCCGCGGCCTCCCCGGCCCCGCCTCCGGGACGCCGCCTCCTCCCCCCCCTCCCCCGAACGGCCGGCGGAGGAGCGGGCTCGGCGCCCCGGGACTCCTGGCCTCCCCGCGGAGACCTCAGGAAGGGAGCGCCGAGGCCCCGGGCTGTGACCCGGGGCCGCCCCCGCCGGAGGTCGCTCGAAGGTCGCTCGGAGGGGACCCCCGCTAGTGCCCGCGCCACGGCCCGGCCTCACAGCCGGGAAATCCGGTCCTCGCAGGCTTTGGTGTCCTGGTGGCAGTGCATGCCCCTGGGAAAACGTGTCAAAATTTGGCAAGTCCAAAATAGAGGTACTCTGAGCTTGAAGTGAATTATTTGAAAAAGCAGTGAAACTGGTTTTTTAGGAGCTTTTGCATGGTGAAGTGATGGAGGATTATGAAAGGCTTGGGAGTGAACCCGCCTTCATCAGGAGAGGACTTAGAGCTTAAGAATAGTTTTAGATTTTCTTGAGTAGCCTTCAGTGATCAAGGCAATGATCATGACCCTCTGATGCATGTAAATTTCTCTTTTCTACCCTTTAATTTCCATATAGACTCATCGCAGGGAAGGCAGCCAGTGAACACATTTAAGCTGAGAGACCTGATTCAGTTATTTTATTGGAGATGCCAGAGCTGCACTCCGCTCTTTGGGGCATAGATGGAATCCACCGGCTGGGAGCTTGAGCAGTGCCTGGAGGACAGCGAGGCGGTCTTGGGGAGAGCCCACTGTGTGCTACATAATTTTGATTAGTCCTTAAATCTTTCAAGATAGGGGCGCCTGGGTGACTCAGTAGGTTAAGTGTCCACCTTCAGCTCAGGTCATGATCCCTGGATGCTGGGATCGGGCCCTGGGTTAGGCCCCCTGCTCAGTGGGGAGTGTGCTCCCTCTCCTTGCCACCTATTCATGGGCTCTCTTAAATAAATAAATAAAAATAAATACTTAAAAAAAAAAACACACAAAACCTTCAAGATGGATTTTTATCATCCGCTTTCCATAAATGAAGGAACTGAAGCTCAGTAACTAGAGAAAGTATGCATTGTTGCCTTTGACCGGGTAAAGTTCTTTGTTTTTCCATCTCTGTGGGTTTGCTATATTGTTTTGTGAGTGCTCTTTGTCTTACAAAGTAGCTTGTAATTAGACCTGAGGACTTTACCTATTTCGTCCCTTCTCTCTTCCCAGCACAAGGTTTTCAAGATGGTGTGGTCTCCGTGATCACTTATCCCCAGCAGTGAACAGATTCTCTTTGTCACTTTCTCTCCTGTCTGTTGGAGGGACAGCATTCTGTTAGGCTGCTGCCTTCTCTGCCCGTCAGTTCTCACGGAAATTTGAGAGAAGGGCAGGAAAGCGGAGTATTTGTCAATACTCATTTTGTGGAGTATTTGTCATTTTGCCCTGAACTGTTGATGGCTTACCACTAGCCAGAAAGAAGTGAGGCTTCCAGAATCTTAGCACCATGTGAAATGGGTCATTCACTGCACAGAATACATAGAGGCTTTGTGTTCATTTATCTAACAAGAATTTATTTGACTATAAACTCTTCATTTATATTCGCTCATTCAAGCCAGGTAGCGTGCTGGGCATTGTGAAGTCACAGGTGAGCAGAGTGGACAAGTTCTCTCTCTCAAGGAACTTGGAGTCTCATGGAGAGGCATACATGAAATAAACACACATGCTGGTATATAATTATAAGTTGAGGGACGCCTGGGTGGCTCAGCAGTTGAGCGTCTGCCTTTGGCTCAGGTCCTGATCCTGGAGTCCCAGGATCGTATCCCACATTGGGCTCCCTGCATGGGGAGCCTGTTTCTCCCTCTGCCTGTGTCTCTGCCTCTCTCTCTCTGTCTCTCATGAATAAATAAATAAAATCTTAAAATATATATATATATATAAATTGTGCTACTAAGGAAAAGTGGAAGGTGCTCTTGCAAGGGCTTAATAGGAAGACCTGAGCTAGCCCTGGAGATAAATGTGTTAATACCGGGATCCCTGGGTGGCGCAGCGGTTTGGCGCCTGCCTTTGGCCCAGGGCGCGATCCTGGAGACCCGGGATCGAATCCCACATCAGGGCTCCCGGTGCATGGAGCCTGCTTCTCCCTCTGCCTGTGTCTCTGCCTCTCTCTCTCACTGTGTGCCTATCATAAAAAAAAAAAAAAAATGTGTTAATACCTAAGAAAAGTGGAGGCAGTGGTGTCTTATAACACAACAGTGTCTCAGTACATATGTATTTCCTCCTTTGGAAAACACGACGGTCTCTTGCATTACTCTTTGTCCTTTTCTCAACAGGGCTATTCTGAGTCGCCAGATCTCGAGTTTGAATATGCTGACACAGACAAGTGGGCTGCAGAGCTCTCAGGTAAAACACAGACCTCCATATTATTTGGGGGTGTTTTTTTCTGTATTGGTCTTCAATAAAATTGAGAGTGAATGTTACAAGTGCTTTACAATATAAAAGGTAAAAAGGTATTCTCCAGGTTATGGCCTATGACTTTTTAGTAGAGACTAATTCCTCTAGATGTCAAAATTAAAGCAATGAACAGCTTTAAAAAAAAGAAAAAAGTGAATGTCATTTTGGAGTTCATTTTTTCCCCTGGTTAGCTAATTATGATTTATATATATATATATATTTATAATTAACATGTTTACATATACATATATATGTAAACATGTTAATTATGGGATTCACGCTTTGTGTATCTTATAACTTTGGCTTTTCCTTTACTTTGGTGAAGCACCTCTTCTGTGTGGTCAGCTCGTATGGCTGTGGCCTAGTCGCAGACAGTGATGCTCCTTGGCCATGCACTCTGTGCCCAGCACTGGTCTTTCCTAGAGCAGTAGGTCACTCATGAGGCATGCCAACAAGTGTGCCTGCATCTGTGTACATCTGTTACTGCCACTGCTACTCACATGTAATGTGAAGCTAGCCTGAGCTGCTTCTCAGGCCTCCATAGTACAGGTCCTATTTAGAACTTCAGGGCTGCCTGAGAGACACTTGTCCATGGTGGCAGTCAGCCTTGTCATGGCATGGTGGGATTGATGTGCACAGGACTGGAAAGGCCTGGATTTATGTGGCATTCTGATTATCGGCTGCTAGCGGGAATCAGCACTCTCTGCATCGTGCACTTCAGAGCACTCACACCCCCTTAATCATTGGATAGTCTGGGAGTCACTGTGATTCAGGGAGCTGGGGCCTAGAAGCAGATGCCTTATATTCTTTGCTACCTATGAGAACTACTATGGTAGGTGGACGTGGAGCTAATGAGACTTTATTCTTAATAGAGCTTTACAGCTACACGGAAGGGCCAGAATTCCTGATGAATCGAAAATGCTTTGAGGAGGACTTCCGGATCCATGGTGAGCCGGTTCCCTGCACTTGTTGGTTCCTCTGTCCCTGCATGGTGAGAGCTGCAGAGTTTCTCTTAGTCATCTGAGTGACTTGAGTCATTCTGGACTGGCCTAAGAGACCTGCTGAACCATGATTGTTCAAGGCCCCCTGTGAGCTTTAGAGGGGGGATTGCTGGTACTCTGGTGGTAGCTTTTCAGAGTGTGAATATGGGGAGCGGAGGAAGCTTTATGTGTTAAAAATAACATCAGAAATATCAGTGTTTCAGTCTGGAAATCTGTAGAGCAGCAGCATGACCTTCCACCTTATGTAGAGAGTAACTTCTCTTACTGAGTTTTCTGGTCTTGTGGCAGTCTTGAATTTGGTGAGTTAGCATTGTGTTCATTCCATTGTGGGGACTTTTCTGGGCTCAAGTATAACTGATCTCTTGCCCTGCAGTGACAGATAAGAAATGGACCGAGCTGGATACTAACCAGCACCGTACTCATGCCATGAGGCTCCTGGATGGCTTGGAAGTCACTGCCAGGGAGAAAAGACTCAAGGTGGCTCGAGCAATTCTCTACGTTGCCCAAGGTACTGAGTGGGCCCCCGGATACCCTGACACTGCCTTCACTGACGTTGCCCAGTCAGATCTGGGGAAGGACTCCATGAGCCTTGTGTCTGCAGGCACCTTTGGAGAGTGTAGCTCGGAGGCAGAGGTGCAGTCCTGGATGCGCTACAACATCTTTCTGCTCCTGGAGGTGGGCACGTTCAATGCTTTGGTGGAACTTCTGAACATGGAAATAGAGTGAGTCCGTCTGAGGAGCTGGAGTAGGGAAGGGGAGGCAGGGGTCGAGGGGACAGAGCTGGCAGGACTCAGTGGTCAGAGCTGGCAGGACTCAGGTCTCAGAGGAGGGTGACTGGGCCTAGTAAGGCTGAGGGCGTGGTCCAGGCTCTGTTCTGAGCAGTCACGTTGAGCTATAGCCTCTTGTGCAGTCAAAGCACATATATAGTTTTATTCCTCCACTGGGTGGCCCTTGTCAGGGGAACTCCTCTTCCTTCCTGGGGGAAGACTTGACTCCCAAATCTCTCCTGCAGCAATAGTGCCGCCTGCAGCAGCGCAGTGAGGAAGCCGGCCATCTCCTTGGCTGACAGCACAGACCTGAGGTGAGGCAGGCAGCAAGCCTGGGTTCCCTGAGAATGAGATCAGAGTGGGCAGCAGGAGGGTGTCTTCGGGTGCCCTCGCTGTGGGTGTGCTCCTTCTGCGCATGCTGATCTTCATGTGTCCTGAGTCAGCCCTGCAGAGGGTTCTCCCTCGGTGGGCCTCTGGGCTGTATCCCTCACAGGAAACCTAGGGTGAAGCCACTTACTAGAGCCACAATGAGATATGGCCTCCTGCCCACACTTTTGCTGAGAACTTGGTGGTGTGGTACTTTGTGATTGGTGAAACGCATGACGTGGCTACTTGGGCTCCACCTTCTGGTACGCAGCTCGACCCCCATCTACTTGATGATATTTTGTGGCTGCACAGGAAGTAGCAACTGCTGAACAATGAGATCACCTTCCCATTTTTGTGAGGCTTAGCATCTTTGTCTCTGAGTTTGGGAGTTTTCAGACCTGGTGTTGGTGGTCTTCCCCACTATGGTCGGGTCCCTGGGCACTGCCCGCTGGCTCCCTATTTCTGCTCCATGATGGTAGCTTTGACCCCGTGCTGCTTTGTCTGATCCAGCACCTACTTCCACAGTTCGCTCCCATCTCTGAGTTTTTCTTGCTCCAGGAAGCTTAGGACCAGAAATGTTTTGAGCCATTCTTGTTCATGTTAATCCATTAAGCAACCCATTGATGAAGCACCTACTTTGATATGCACTTAGCTCGATGCTGCTGAAATATCAAGCAGAGTAAGATCTGGTCAGGATCTTAACAGCAGAGGCCAAGAAAGGGCACACCAAGAGGTGCTCTGTGGGACTCTTGGTTTTCTCTGCATCACAGCCCTCCGCCCCCAGCTAGCCTTTGTGCAAGCACTTTCCTCATGTCAGCTAGACCGTGGGGAAGCTGGGACACTCCCTTGCTTCCCCATTCTGCACCATTATGAGCTGGCTCTTGTTCCCAGGGTCCTGCTCAACATCATGTACCTGATTGTGGAGACCGTTCACCAGGAATGTGAGGGCGATAAGGCTGAGTGGAGGACCATGCGACAGACCTTCAGGGCTGAGCTGGGTAGGCCCCTAGAGATCCTGGGGTGCTGAGGCCCTGCCTGGAAGCAGAGGCTTCTGGCCTTTGGGAGGGTCCTGTTCCTGCTGGTGGTCCTGATCCCTTAGTGTTCCCTCTAGGTTCCCCCCTGTACAACAATGAACCATTTGCCATCATGCTGTTTGGGATGGTGACCAAATTTTGCAGCGGCCATGCCCCTCACTTCCCCATGAAGAAAGTTCTCTTGCTGCTCTGGAAGACAGTGTTGGTGAGCATTTCCTTGAAGGGGAACTCAGCTGCTAGGGATCGGGGCAGGAGGGAGACTTCATTGTATATCTTTTTAAATGTTGAGTTATGTGAAAAAGTATATGTGAATTAATATATAACTAACTGCTTTGGCACTTTTGTCTCACTATGGTCAAAGAGGACTTGGCCCTTGGGTCAGAATAGATTGTGGGCTCCCTGACTCCTGGAAGCTGCTTCTCTAGCCCTAAAATGCCTTCTCTCCAACCAGGCTGCTTCTGAACCTGGAGTATATAAAGTGATTGGAGGCAGAATTAGGGCTGGTGTAATCGGGTCCCCTCAGTCAGAGGTCACTTGAAGGAAGCAAGAGCGAGCCTTGTGCTAGTGCCATCTTCCTCAGGGTGTGGTATGGAGCCCATTTCTGGCTGGGGAAGGACTGGCCAGCACCCTTGGCTTGGGGCCGTTGTCAGCAGCCAAGCCCAGCGCCCTTCCCACCTGGAGGAGTGATTTCAGCAGAGAGCAGCGTTGCAGTTGGGACTCCACCTCCCCCTGGGGCTCTCCTTCCTCCTTCCAGAGCAGGCAAACTCTGCAGAGCCAGGCTCAGTGAGTTAAGGGCCTCTTAATCTTCTTTTTTTTTTTTTTTTTAATTTTTATTTATTTATGATAGTCACATGAGAGAGAGAGAGAGAGAGAGAGGCAGAGACACAGGCAGAGGGAGAAGCAGGCTCCATGCACCGGGAGCCCGACGTGGGATTCGATCCCGGGTCTCCAGGATCGCGCCCTGGGCCAAAGGCAGGCGCTAAACCGCTGCGCCACCCAGGGATCCCGGGCCTCTTAATCTTTAGAGTGATGTGCACCTTTTGTTTTGGTCACACATCCCTTTGGTTCCTCACAAAGCTTCACTGAAGCCAGAGGCAAAAGCTGAATTCCACTGGGGTTTTGGCTTCTAGGGGCATGATGAGAGGAAGCTTTTTTTTTTTTTTCCTTTTTTTTTTGTAGTATCTAACTGTATCCCCAATTTGATTTTGAAAGACTGGCATGTACAGTTTTTGAGGTATGTGAGTCTCCTAGACTTTTCTACGAACCCAATGGGGTAGGCTTTGCAGTCTGCCTTTTTGACATGAAGAGTATATCGTACATATGGAGCTAAGCATGTCCACTAGCTCAGTTAGCCTCCATGTCTCCTTCCCTTGGTCCGTTTTCTCTGTTCCCACCTTGGCATTGCTGAATTCTCGTGTGAGTTCCTTATTCAGAGATTGGTGTGGGTCGTGGTATCACATGTGCTTTTGAGCCTAACATAGGGCCCAGGGACCCACTCATGGATGCATTCAGCCCAGCCCTGCCCCTTGTTCACGATGCAGTGCACACTGGGTGGCTTTGAGGAGCTGCAGAGCATGAAGGCTGAGAAGCGGACCATTCTGGGCCTCCCTCCGTTGCCTGAGGACAGCATCAAGGTGATCCGTAACATGAGGGCTGCCTCTCCGCCGGCGTCTGCCTCAGACTTGATTGAGCAGCAGCAAAAGCGGGGCCGTCGGGAGCACAAGGTGAGGGTAATCGATGTCCCCTGTGACTCCTGAGGGTCTCAAGGTGCATGACATGTAGCAGCATGATCCCTGTGTGAAAAGGGCTGTTGGAAATCATCTCTGACCAGCTAGTCCAAATGAAGGCCTCTGGGCCAGGGATTCTGTGTCTCTAGCCCAGGACCCAGTTTATTGTAGGTACTCACACATGGCTTTTTTTGAGGCTCTGGGGCAAGAAGGCCTTTGTTGTTTTGGCTCAGCTTTGGCTTCCTCTCAGGCTTTTCCACTGCCCTTGGCTCTGCCTACTACCTTCTGTGATAGAGCCTCTCTAGCCTCCTTGCCCTTAATGGTTGCTTGGTTTGTCCCTCTGTTTTCAGGCGCTGATAAAACAGGACAACTTGGACGCCTTCAACGAGCGGGATCCCTACAAGGCTGATGACTCTCGAGAAGAGGAAGAGGAGAATGATGATGACAACAGTCTGGAGGGGGAGACATTCCCCCTTGAACGGGATGAAGTGATGCCTCCCCCACTGCAGCACCCACAGACTGACAGGCTCACCTGCCCAAAGGGGCTTCCATGGGCTCCCAAGGTCAGGTGAGGCCCAGACATCTGGCACACTCCTGGCTTCTGAAACCAGAGATCTCCCACCCCCAGGCCTGGCATCTGGCCTGAGTCACCATGGGAAGTCCTCTGTAGGGCCAGGCCAACCTTGGCTCTGGGATGAAGCTGTCTTATACAGTACCACATGTTGGCCCAGAGGTCTCGGGGCACTGGCCTTGCACAGAGAGACCGTGTATGGCTCTTGAGTTGGTAATATGAGTTAGCACTTGGTTAGCCATACTAATGAAGGGAGAATAGGGAAAAATGAAAACCAGGACATTTAACTGAATTCATCTCCTCTCACCCTGGGATTGTATGTGGTTTTTAACAGATTAAAAAAGAGTTTTAGGATCATACTTAAGGTGTTTGAAATATGTGTGCATGAATCAGTGGGTGGGAAGGTACCTGGATATGTAAATGGAGGTGGTATCTGTTTGAAAAGGTACCAGCTTAAGAAATAGATGGACGTGCAAAAGAATACAGAAGTCAGTTTCTTGATCTGAAACCCCAGTTTTCAGTGATCTGTGATGGCAATACAAAACTAGTCATCAGAAAACTGCAAGATGTGCATGCCAATTGTTTAAGACAGGGACCCAGGACACATGTGAAAATATCAGTAGCTGAGAGGTCTAATTGTAATAAATTTAAATATTTGAGAAATTTTTTTGACAAACTTGTTAGCTGAATAAAGTGTGCTTTTCAGTTTGATGTAGCACCTTAATTTTACAGATAAACTAATTATCTGCAACATATTTTCAGGTTATTGATCCAACAATGTTATAAAGGTCATTAAAAAAGTCTAAGGATTTTAGTTCTTTCCTTTCCTCCTTTCCTTCCTTCCTTCTTTCTTTTTTCCTAAAAAGAAAAACAATGGTGGGAGACCTTTTCTTCTGGCTTCACCATTTTTGGGCATTCTGTGTTTTATTGACCATGACACCTTGAAATAACATTTAATAAAAACCTGGTTCTTTCTCTTTGGCAGAGAGAAAGACATTGAGATGTTCCTCGAGTCCAGCCGTAGCAAGTTTATAGGTTACACTTTAGGCAGGTGAGTGTGATCTGAAGTTCCTTTTGAAGAAAGGTACCGGGAGTTCACTTTCCTGGCCTTTGGTGTTTGGGGATCGAGGCGAATTCATGTCTGGGCTTAAAACAGGGCTTTCTTTATTCACCAGTGACACCAACACAGTGGTGGGGCTGCCCAGGCCAATCCACGAGAGCATCAAGACTCTGAAACAGGTAGGTGGCATTGAATGAGCTTTTGACCTACTTTGGTCCCGAGTGAGTAAAGTGAGAGCAGCCCTTTGGGAGAAACCTTTTAAGACTATTGTCTGCCTGAAGGAACCTAGAGCAGAGGCATGGGTGGACCGTGGTGATACCCTTTAAAACAGCTCTCTGTGAGTTTTACTTATTTAAGCTGACTTTTTGTTGGAGACTTAACTGGGAGTTTATTAAAGATAGTACTTGATAGAGTTTTTTTTGTTTTGTTTTTTTTGTTGTTGTTGTTGTTTTATTTATTTATGATAGTCACAGAGAGAGAGAGAGGCAGAGACACAGGCAGAGGGAGAAGCAGGCTCCATGCACCGGGAGCCCGATGTGGGATTCGATCGCGGATCTCCAGGATCGTGCCCTGGGCCAAAGGCAGGCGCCAAACCGCTGCGCCACCCAGGGATCCTGATAATTAGAGTTTTAAGGGGCCTGATAAATAGCCCTCCCTTTTCCTAGCCCGAGCTCTAAGGCAATTGAGATAGAGGAGTAGATAGATGGAGATTCAAACACTAGCCTTCCTGCTGATAGAGTGACTGGAGAATGAGGCAAAAGGGCACAGCAGCGACATGCACCCTAATGCTTTACTTCCAGAGTTGGTGGACTCACCTACCCACGGCCAGGCGGTATTGGAACCCTGCTAAGCCTGATCGAGGAGCAGAAGAGAACATAGGCTTTTCTTTTTTCTAAAGAGAAATTCAAAGAAGGAAGTTGGGCTCAGAAAATCCTGTTCCTTCCCTGATACTTGCCAGTCGGCGAAGGGAGAGGAGTGAGTGTATGGAAAGGGGCAGGGGAGATCAGGAGTTTTTTTTACACACATGTATCCCTCCACATGGGAGGAAACATCAAGAGTGGGAAAGAGGTATCTCCCCTAACAACATGTCAAGAGTGTAAATGTTGATGATATGTTTTTGAAATACGTTTTTGAGATTTGTACAAATGGGCTAAGCAGGCCCTGTGCCATTAGGCTGTTTGAGGACTTGGTTCTGAGTCATTGACTCTCCCTTTAGTGGTTTTCTTGTATCTCTATAGTTATCTGGAAGTCCCTTCTTTCCTTTGTTTTTTCCTAATCTATTGTGTGCTTTTTAGACTGGGTTTAAGAAATATGTGTCTTAGAGAAATATTTCAGGATTTGAGTTAGGGACTTTTGTGGTGACTTTAGCTCTCTTTGAGAAGATTGTGTTTGAAGAAAACTGCATGGGGTCTTTGCCAGGGTATGCGGCTTTGGCCAGCGAATGAGGGGTGTTTCCCCACTCTCTCTCCAGCACAAGTACACATCGATTGCAGAGGTCCAGGCGCAGATGGAGGAGGAGTACCTTCGCTCTCCTCTCTCAGGGGTGAGTCTGAGGCCTTCTCCAGTCGCCACCCACCCCCCTGCTGTTCCCAGGCACTGGGCTGGGCCCAGACCACAGAGCTGCCCCAGGCCCTGCCCTCGAAGCTCCCAGTCTCGCTCCCATTGCAGGGGTGGCGGGTGATTAGTATGAGGGTCAAGAGCACAGACTCTGAGCCCATCACCTGCCTCTGACTCCCAGCTCCCTGACTTGGTAGGTGGCCACTTAGGCAAGTTACTGGATCTCGCAGTGCTTTAGTTTCCTCACCTGTGGAATGGGAATAATAATAGCCTTCTTCACAGAGTTGTAGTAAGGATTAACTGATTTATTACAGGTAAAGTGCCTCACAGGTCGTATTATTCGATGCTTGCTGTCGTTATCAACATCTTTATTTATATCACTACTTACAGATTCTCCTCTAGCCGCCTAGCAGGCTGGCTCAGGAGACCCATCAGGACTGGGGTTTTGTATTTGTGCCTAATTGTGTTAAAAGGGAGAAGAGGAAGTTGAGCAAGTACCTGCAGAAACCCTCTACCAAGGCTTGCTTCCCAGCCTGCCTCAGTACATGGTGAGTGTTCCTGCTCCTGGGGCCTTGCCACCTCTTCAGGAGTGCTCTGGGTCTGGGACCCCTTTAGTGGCCATGCGTAGGTACTGCCGCAGGATCGCCCTCCCCACTACACTGGCCTTGAGAGCACGCTCTGCCAGTGTCCTTTAGCCCCCCACCGCCCATCTGAGCTTCTCTGGAAGGACCGCCTCTAAGGGCTTAGGGCTGCTTCTGCTTCTCGGCAGATCGCACTGCTGAAGATCCTGCTGGCTGCAGCCCCCACCTCAAAGGCCAAAACAGACTCAATCAACATCTTAGCCGATGTCCTGCCTGAGGAGATGCCGTGAGTAGCTGAGTAGCATACCAATGAATGGAGCAGGGCAGAGGCTGCAGGGTAGAGGGGGAAGGCAAGGTTTTCCTCTCAGGTCCCACTCTTTGTTAGGTTGATTTCTCTCTTTGACTCACTTTCTCTGTGGGTTAAGTTTAGGGTATTCCTGGCTCAGAAGAAAGAAACTGTATCGGATTAAATACTTAATTTTACTGGTTGGGGAAGTGGCTTTCTGTGGTAGGCCCGGATTCTGGTGTAGACTCTGCCATTGAGTGAACTGGGGAAAAGTCATTTCCTCCTCTGTAAAATTAATCAGGCTGTGTTTGACATTTCCCAAACCCTCCCTCGAAAGCTGTGTGATCATCCAGGACTACTGGACATTTTACCGGCCAACAGCTGAACTTGAGCTGGGTGTGGATTCTTTTCTATTCGCTGTTGATTTGGCATGCAGGATATTTGTGGATATCTCAGGGTGATAGTGAAATCCTTAGGGGTTCTTTTTCCCTGGGGCACTGACCTCATCGCTTTGATGTGAGAGTTCAAACCGAGATCATTTTCTGCTTTGAGAAGGACCTGGGCCTTGATCTGACTTTCTGCTTGCCTGCCTGCCAGTACCACCCAGCTCTGAGCCCAGCTCCCTGGGGGCTGGAGCCCCTTGAGTCTGGCCATGATAGCCAGGTGAGGGAGGAGGCAGGGATTGGTTAATACCGAAGGGAGCGTCCTAGAACACCAGGCCATCATGATGGTCCTTGGAAGAAGGGTTCCAGAGTCAAATACTAAATTTCACAGAGATTTACAGTGCAAGGCCCTGAATTAAGAAACAGTTTAACTTAGTGCTTTTTCAGTATATCTGACTCCAAAGCCCTTTTTTCTCCCCAGTATTAAAAGCCTCAATGTACTAGTATTCCACAGGATACACTTGGAGGGACCCAAGTTCATACAGTAGCAAAAACTTACGAAGAACTTGGAAAGGAGTCCATTTTGCGAGGAAATCAGAGAAATAGGCTAAGAATGTGTTTGGGGCCTCACAAGAATTGTGCTGAGCTGGATTGCTTGTGAGGCAGGTAGGAGGAGCCCAGGGCCTGATATCTGAGCTGCCCACAAGGGGTGGGTGGTGAGGTAGGGGCCTTTGCCCAGAGAAGGCTCAGGAATGCCATCTCTCCCACGAGCACCTAGAAGGACTGTGCTGTACCTGCTGGTGGCTCACCCTGGGAATTGTGTTTCCAGCACCACAGTGTTGCAGAGCATGAAGCTGGGGGTGGACGTGAACCGCCACAAAGAGGTCATTGTTAAGGCCATTTCTGCTGTCCTGCTGTTGCTGCTCAAGCATTTTAAGTTGAACCACGTCTACCAGGTACCTGCAGGGCCTTCCTTCCTGTTCCTTGGGCCAGGGCCTTAGGCAGCACTACTCCTCCAATCCTGAAAAACTCAGGCCTTGACCTTCAAACCTCTTTGAACTCTGCATGAATGTTTTAAGACACAGTCTTCCAACCAAGGCCTTTTATCATTGGAGGAAAGAGGGTGAGGTCCTAAAGGGCATACTTACTTTTTTCTGTTGGTTTCAGTTTGAATACATGGCCCAGCACCTGGTGTTTGCCAACTGCATCCCTCTGATCCTAAAGTTCTTCAATCAAAACATCATGTCCTACATCACTGCCAAGAACAGGTGATACGAGAGAGGGAGCAGGGAGGGGTGGGTGTGGCCAGGTGGCAGGGCTCCTGGCCGGCCTCCTCTGCTGAGCCCGCTCAGCCCCTGCAAGCCAGCACTCTGCCGGGCCTCAGCACAGGGACCACAGGGACCGACCCCTGCTGTGGAGAGTGCCACTGTGTCAAGTCTGAGTCTAGCCACTCCAGTGACAGGTGGCACAGTCCACCTGGGTGGGAGGGTTCTCACCCTGGGTTCCAGTACTGTCCTCAACTGTTTGGTGTTTCTTTGAGGAGACTGGCTGGGCCTCCTGCTCTCTGAGGAGCTCTGCCACGTGCACTGTGAGCCCTTGTCTGCCCCCCTCCCCCACCTGCCGGCTGTAGCTGATGGCGAAGCACAGGGTGAGGGCGGTTGGCCAGTGCTGTCTCCAGTAGGGGCTTGGCATGCATTAACTGCCTTGAGAAATCTTCCCCATCTCTGCAGATTTGCTGCTGTAGGAGAGTAGGGCCTCTGGACCTTAAAAGATAGACCATCTGGTCTTTGGCCATAGAGAGACCCTATAAGTTCTCTGGTAGCAGGGATTTTTTTTTTTTTTTTTTAAGATTTTATTCATTTATTTGGGATCCCTGGGTGGCGCAGCGGTTTGGTCTCTCTCTCTCTCTCTCTCTCTCTCTCTCTGTGACTATCATAAATAAATAAAAATTTAAAAAAAAAAGATTTTATTCATTTATTCATGAGAGACACGGAGAGAGAGAGGGGCAGAGACACAGGCTGAGGGAGAAGCAGGCTCCATGCAGGGAGCCCAACGTGGGACTCGATCCCAGGTCTCTAGGATCATGCCCTGGGCTGAAGGTGGCATTAAACCACTGAGCCACCTGGGCTGCCCTGGTAGCAGGGATTTGATCCTCCTATTTGATCCTCCAGCTTGGAAAATGAGGGGAGTGCAGGCAGGGCAAAGTCCTGCTTCCACTGCCACCAAGTGAGGGAGGAAGGCCAGGAGCCAGCCCTATCGCAGTTGCTTCACCAGCCCCTAGCCTTTGCTCACAGTGGGCACTCGCCTTCTCTTGCTCTCTGCAGCATTTCTGTCCTGGATTACCCTCACTGCGTGGTGCATGAGCTACCAGAGCTGACCGCTGAGAGTCTGGTGAGTGGCTGTGTGCTTCCCCACCCATTCCTTGACTTTAGGGGTGATGGTAGAGGGCCTGCCTCCCCTGACACAGGGATAGAGGTGTTCACAGATGAGGTCATTGTTGAGCACTGGCTTTTAAAGCACCAAAATTGCATAGAAGGGCTGGAGGGAGGGACCTTACATAGTGGAAGGATTTGGATATAAGGAGTAATTTGTCAGGAGCATGGTCTTCAGGGGCCACTGACCCAGAGTTCACTTGGTTGAGTGGTGCCTCTCACACAGTTGTGTCTCTGTGGGGCACAGCTCTGAGGGAGCCTGGGTACAAGTGCCCCAGGTATGGGGGCTGAGGGTATAGTCCGCAAAATCATGGTCCATGTTTCCTACAGAAAAATTCTAGGGAGGTCCTTTACCCCTGCCAAGCTCTGGGACAGAAGTCCTCCTGGCTTGAGGAGAGGGTTGCCGGTACAGTTCCAGGGAGGTGTGAGGGCCTTGGACAGTGCTGAGCATCCTGCAGCTATGAGGGTTACAATTGTTCCTGGACTCTCCCTGTAGGAGGCAGGTGACAATAACCAGTTTTGCTGGAGGAACCTCTTTTCTTGTATCAATCTGCTTCGGATCTTGAACAAGCTGACAAAATGGAAGCATTCGAGGACCATGGTGAGCCAGTGCTTGGGACAGAACTTGGGACTCGAGGCAGAGGGCTACACCCCATGGTGTCCCCTCCCAGGGCATCCCCATGCGGCCTTGCTGCTGCCCTGACACCCCTCTTGCTGCACTTGCTGGTAGCCACATCCTTGCATTTTAACGGCTCATCCCTGGTGCCTTGCTGAGTTGAACTGGAAGCTAGAAGCTTAGTTGTGCCCTAAAGCAATGAACACTTAGAGAAGGGATTTTTCTGTGTCCTCTTAGTCTCCAGTGGTAACACAACCAGGCTTCTGGGAGCCTCCAGTAACCCTGAGGCTGAGGATGCCTTTGGGGTGGGGAGGTCCGTGAATTCTCGGAGATTCTACATCTTGGTGCATAGGAATGTTGGAGGTGAGAGAGCTCACGGCTTTTCTTCCATCATGATTTCATGATGACCCATGATGTTAGCAGTGGGGGTCCATGTCCTCCCAGGGGAAACTGTGATGGTAGGGTCCCCTGCCTGCAACCCCAGAAGGTAAGCAGTAAGGTGGTGGTGCAGGTGTTGATCCATGCCCTCTACCCGGTCCTCTGTGGCCCTTCCCAGATGCTGGTGGTGTTCAAGTCGGCCCCCATCCTGAAGCGGGCCCTGAAGGTGAAGCAGGCCATGATGCAGCTCTACGTGCTGAAGCTGCTTAAGGTGCAGACCAAGTACCTGGGACGGCAGTGGCGGAAGAGCAACATGAAGACCATGTCTGCCATCTACCAGAAGGTGCGGCATCGGCTGAACGATGACTGGGCGTACGGCAACGGTAAGGCTGTGGCGCGAAGCTGAGGCGGGGAGGCTTTTCCCTCTGACGAACCTGCGGAGTCCAGTTCCTGCTTCTCTAGCATCAGGATAGGAACTCCAGGAAGGACCTTGAGAAGCTGCCTGGGATTGGTGCATGTGACCCTCCCCCGTTCCTCTGTCCCCCTGACATAGTTCCTTTTCCAGAAACTGCCACAAGATCCTGGCTTTCCTCTCCCCACTGCCACTGCCTTGGTTCTAACCACTGAAATTCTCACATACCTCAAACAACCTCCTGGCCCTGCTCTTCTTCCCCTCTGTCAGTGCCTCAAACTGTGTCTGAGTGATCTTTTTAAAAAGCAGATCCTGTGATGCTAACTCCCGGAGTAAAATCTTTCATGAGCTTCTGGTTTCTCATAGAATTTGAGCCACACTCTTAACGCAAGGCATATAAGGCTCGCCAGCCTCCCTTCCCTCCTCTGTAATCTGATCCAGCTCTCTTCACCCAGCTAGAGCCCAGCCTCTGTCACCCCCAGGGATCTTGGCCCAGTAGCCACGTTGTCCCCACTTTTCTTGCTCCTGGCAGGAGCCTCCCTTGTACCTGCACTGCTCACTGTCTGCACGGGTTCTTCCCCTCTGGTAGGCTGCTTTGGCCTCAGGCAGAGCAGACTCCCCCAGGCTTTCCTGAGCGTGTTGCCACACCGGTGGCGATGCCTCGCCCACCACCCCATGGCCGAGTGACCGCATCTGTACCCCAGTGCTCTGTGAATTTGTTTTTTTTTTTTTTTAAATTTTTTTTTTTTATTTATGATAGTCACAGAGAGAGAGAGAGAGAGGCGCAGAGACATAGGCAGAGGGAGAAGCAGGCTCCATGCACCGGGAGCCTGATGTGGGATTCGATCCTGGGTCTCCAGGATCGCGCCCTGTGCCAAAGGCAGGCGCCAAACCGCTGTGCCACCCAGGGATCCCTGCTCTGTGAATTTGTGAGGAGACAGAGTGGTCCCCGGTTCCTGGTCAGGGAACTAAGAGAAGGAGCCAGTGAGGGGATCCGCAGCTTCCTGCCATCCATCCCAGAGAGCCGGGGAGAGCGTGACTTTCAGAGAAGCCGGTGTTCCTTTGGCTCTCCCTGGCCGGGTCCCCCAAACTGCAGTTGGGCCTTTTTCTCTGTAGATCTGGCCTCTCTTTTTTTACCTGATTTCCCTTTGTATCTAAGTAAAAAGTCCTGTCAGTCTTCCTGAGGATGGGGATTGGAGGTCTCCCGGTTGACAGCATTACAAGCCAGGGTCAACCTGTTCCCGACTTCAGGGAAACCAGGGGGAGCTACCATGAGGACTTGGCTCCTAAATATGTCTTCCTGCTTTATCCCAGATCTTGATGCCCGGCCTTGGGACTTCCAAGCAGAGGAATGTGCCCTCCGTGCCAATATTGAACGCTTCAACGCCCGGCGGTATGACCGGGCCCATAGCAACCCGGACTTCCTACCTGTGGACAACTGCCTGCAGAGTGTCCTGGGCCAGCGGGTGGACCTCCCCGAGGACTTCCAGATGAACTATGACCTCTGGTTAGAAAGGGAGGTCTTCTCCAAGCCCATTTCCTGGGAGGAGCTGCTGCAGTGAGGCTCCTGGGCTAGGGTACTGAGAAGGAAAGAAGGGGTGACCTGGAGGTGCCCCAGAGGCTGTTCATTGCTGCAGTGCTCCCACATCCCTCCAGGTGGCAGCACAGCCCCACCATGCCCTGCCTTTGGTCCAGCTGGGCTTGTGAGGGAGGCCAGATTTGGCCCCTCTTTGATTGCCAGCGTCCTGCCCAGAGAGCCATCTGCTCTCTGCTTGGGATCCTCTTTTCCTCCACTCCTTCCCACTTTCTTCTCTTGGACACGGTTGGTTGCAGCTCATTTCTTTCAGCCCAAGGCTGGGAAAAGCTGGGATGGGCTGGGAAGCCATTGCATCTGAATTGCAGGGGTCACGCTGACTCTTCCCGAGACACAAATCCTTGGTGTGTCAGCTTGCCAAGGAGGAAGGCCAGGGCCAGAAAGTCAGAATCTTGGTTTTGCTTTGAGGGGTTTCTCATGTCATTCCAGCCTCCTGCTAAGTTTCATCCAGAAGCAATTGCAGAGGCTCCTACAGATGTTTCAGTGCTTTGATTTTGGACAGGCTTAGGGGTTAGGAAGAGAAGCTTCCCTTAACCAGGGGTGCCATTTTTCCTCTTGGTTTGCAAGGGTCTGTAAATACCTATATATAAATTTCTGTGTATTCTCTTGTGTCACGTTGGGGTTTTTAATGTGTTTGTGTATTCTGTTTACATTAAAAGGAAGCAAAACCAATCCCCATTGCCGTGTCTGCAGGAAACATGGCCCCTAAATATCTCCTCAGGTCTAGAAAGTGGGTTTTCTTGCCAGCATTGATAGGTCACCCACTTGTTCCCCGTCAGGCTGCATGCCTTTCCCACCTGAGGGGGAGAAGCAAGGGGAGTTGGCGCTTATCCAGAGTCTTTTCCCCCCTACATCAACCTGGAATAGCTCCAGGGCTCCTGTACCCCTGGGTGTGATGTAATTGTAGTAGAAGCCCCAGGCATCTCTGGATCGCACTACCGAGTTGGCCTCCACCAGCCCAATTTCAGTGCTAGGGAGGGAGGGGTGGTTGGCTGCTCTGGGCCCTCATGGGAGTAGGTGGTTGGGACTGAGAGGACCTCTGTGCCCAGGGCTTAAGGAAGCAGCCCCTCAGGAGTCAGCTTCACAGGGAGGAGGAGTGTGTCGGGAGGCCCAGGAGTCCACATCGCTGGGAAAGAGGCAAGGAAACTGTGGTAGGTGTCCATTTGGGGCCTCCTGGAGCCTGCCCCTGGCCTTCTGATCCCTGGACACATCTGCTTCCACTTCGTTCCATCTTGAGGTTCTGTATGATAGGACTGTTCTCTTTCAAGAATTACTTGAAGGTCCCTTATCTTAACCTGTAGGCTATGTGTATGGAGTCTTAAGTATCTGAAGGGTCTTGACATACAAAGGAAATGTATTCTGGGGACAGGCTCCCTTTTGTTTGTTCAGTGCCTTCCTGGCCTGGGTTTTGGCTGAGCCTCAGTGCAGGCCCCAAGCTGGGCTTCTGGGACACGCTTGCATGGTTTGCAGCAGCAGGGGCGAGGCCAGCACTGTACCTTTTCTGCAAGTCACACAGCCTCTGAGGTGGGGTGTCTGTGTGACTGACTTTTTGTCTCATGGTAACTTGTACCAGAGGAGGGAACTTGACACAATTTGTGTGTGTGTGATGGATTTTCTACCGTTCCCTGCCAGGACCCATGGGAAGTACATATCTCAAGATTGTAGTTTGGGTAGGAATAGATTTTCACATTCATACTCGCACCAGGCCGTCTGGCTCACTGCACCAGCCTCACGGAGGTTTTGCTTCCTTCCCCTCTTTTGATTTCTCCAGTCTCTCCTGAAGCTTCCCTTAACCAGAGGTGTGCCATTCTTTCCTCTTGGTTTGCAAAGGTCTGTAAATACCTATATATCTAATTTATGTATAAATTTGTGCAAAAAAAGAACACAGAATCTCAAAGCTGACCCATGAAGCCTGAGTGGGCTGGTGTATCCCCACATCTGTAGGCCCAGGGGCTGGCCCAGGAGAGGAAGAGCCTTATCCCAGCCACAGGGCATGCTAGTGGTAGATTGGCCATTCCAATCCAGCACTTGTACAGAAATGTCTTTTGGAGCAAGTGGTCACCCCATGTCTGTGGTTTTATTTCTCATCTAGGTCCTGAGATGGGCAGGGTACATTAAGCCCTTTGTAAACAATTGAGTTACATAAAATGGTGACTATTGCTAACCAGGCTCAAGGTCGGGCTCCTTTAATCCACTAAGGCTTACCTTGTGGCTCTATCACCTGAGGGAACTGACCTTTGTTAACCAAAAGAGTTACCACTTAACTAGATGCCAGATAGGTACCAGGCCCCGTACTGATGTTTCTTGAAAGCTAGTTTTCCACACAGGAGCCAGCAAATGTTTAGTGCTTACTATGTGCCAGCCACTACTCTGAGCACTATATATATAATATATATATATATTATATATATATGTATGTATGTAATATATATTATGTAGATACAAAATACTGCTGCAAGTGTGTACGTCCCATGGCCAACCTTTCTCTAAGGAATCATTTTGATTCTCCAGCACTTAACACCACTGCATTCAGTCAGCACTTTGTATTTGCTCAAGCATGGTCCTTGGCAAGAAGGTTCTTGGCAAGTGTCAGCTAGGCCTTAGCCTGACTTCTAACGTGCCCCAAATGTGCCCTCATCAGGGTATTTCGGGGTGGTCGCTGCTACCTTCCTTTTCAGCCTGTGCCTGGGCGTCTGTCTCTCCTGGGTCCCAGAAGACTCTTGTGTGTGGCGGCCCCTCCATTCCCATTTGGGCTTCTCTCCCGGAAAGCTAGCTTCTGTCTATCCTCTAATGCACTGACAGCGCAGGGCAGCAGTAGCTGTGCCATTCGTTTGTCAACTTGGCAGGGTCAGCCTCAGGCTGCAGGCTCTTGCATTTATTCACTGAAGGACCTTGAGCTCATCAAGCTCTCTGCTTTAGTTGGCTTATCTGTAAAAATCAGATTAATAATAAACAGCAAGGAGGGCTGAATAAAATAATGGATAATAGACCCACGTACCTGGCTGAGGAGGGACAGCGTGGCCCATAAATGATAGCTACTCATAGTCCTGCCAAGGGCCCTTCCAGCTCTAGCCTGCACTGGATTTGCTTCTACTTCCTGAATCCTCTGGAAAAGAGACCCTCCTTCAAGGGCCAGAACAATGTCTTAGGCCTCCTCCTATCCCTCATCCTGAGCTCAGCGCTCTAAATACAGAAGGCTCTCAAAAGTCAGCCACTCACCTAGCCACCCTGCCGTCACACCTTGAAGACCTCTTCTGGGCCAGGCTGTGTTCCAGGTGCCCTGGGCATCCAGGTGAACAGAGCACCACACTCTCACTGTGCTTGGTGAGCTGTCAGTTGTGGACAGATTGGCTATGAGAGCAAGTGAAAGCATTAACGTGGGTGCAGAGACATGTCTGCAGGGCCCCCTGGGCTCCACTGGCCCCGATCAGTGCCCTGGAAAAGAGACTGGGCGTGGGAGCCTGCCGTGGGTGAGGGGCAAGGGTGGGGGCTCCAGCATCAGGAAACTCGGGCTCTGGGAGCAGGCGCTTTGTGTTCCTTGCCCCTGGGGAAGATGGTAGGATGCACCTGGGGCAGAGGCTGGGGCAGGAGTGAGGTGTGTGCTCCGTCTGCCTGATAAAGGAATGCGTTTCCTAGCGTTTCCTGGCGAGCCTGTGTTCCTGGGGGGGGGGGGGGGCTGCAGAAGGTCTGCACTTCAGGGCTGTAATTCAGGTTGATGTGTAAATGCTTGGGGGGAGGTGGGGAAGGAAGATTGAGCGGCTCTAATGAGAAGCATTTCCTCATGCCTGGACTGAGACCGGACTGAAGGGCCCACTTGCTAGGGCTCTCTGCTCTGGGGCTGGGGTCCGTGCCCCTGCCAGGACCAAGATTTAGGGCTTCTCTGGGTGGGCCTCACTGGTGCAGAGAGGGGCCTTAGCAAAGAGACATTGAGACTAGCAACTCTCTTAAATGTGGGATTCCAAATTTAATTCACCTCTGGGGTGAGGTGTGGGGGCAGGGGCATCTGAAAGACTCAGGGGCTGTGTCGGGTGGGACGCCTAAGGCGTGGAGGAGGAGGGGAGGATGGGAGGATGGCTAATGGGAAGCAGGTGGAAGGGCTGCCTGTGTCCCAGCCAAGGGACAGGCCCTCTATGATGGCCCAGTCAGTGGGAGAAGCCATCGGCTCACAGATAATCCCAGGGAACAGGCTCCGGGATGCCCATTCATATTCATTATGTGTGAAGTGGGCGGTTGTAAAGTTAGCTTTCTCTTCATTTAGCTGTCACTGGACAGAAAAATATGAGCTGTGGGCAGATGCCCCTGGATGGGAGCCAGTAGCTGGTCTCTGGCCTCCCCGTGCCCTCCCCCGCCAGGGCCTCCCTCCCGCCTGGTTCACTCCCAGCCTCTGCCTGCCTCTTCTCTGCTGCATGGCTCTCTGCTTTGCCTTTACTGTCTGCCCTAGTCTGTCTCTTCCCCACCTCTCCCTTTGCTTCCACAGGTCTTTCCTCTGTGCACCCCTGCCCCTCCGCCTGCAGTGTGAGAGGGAACTATGTTTTACTTGACTTGTTCTATCCCTGCCACCCAGCACAATGCCTGGCACAGAGTGGGCACCCAATAAATATTTGTAGAACAAACTATAGTCTTTCTGCATGTGACTTTATGACACAGGAGTCCAAAATCTGGCTGGCCACTCCTTGGGTGAAGAAACTTCTAGTGCAGTGGTCTTAGCCCTAAGTTAGGGCTGACTCCCAGTTCATTATTAACCTGCTGTGTGAAGGGGATTGTGTTCTTCAGAGAAACTGGGGCTGCCTATTCCTACTACTCAGACTCTTCCTGATGGACACAGGGCTCATACCTGGACCTCTCAGAGCCTGCATGAATACAGAGAAGAGAAATCACCAGAAGCCGGGTCCTCAAATGAACAAAAGGAAGACACGGGTTTCTTCTGAGGGATGCCCAAGCCTAGACACACTGGGACTGTCTTAGGGAAAGCTGATCTGATGGGGCCTTACTCCCTCTTTGGGACTAAGCACAGCACTGGTGTTTTTGTGTGCTCTGGTTTCTCTGTGCCTGGAAGTGGGGGGACGGGGCGTGGTGGCTGAGGCTGAGCTCTGAGCAATGTGGTTGTGTTTACGGGGAGGGTGGGAGGGCCAGGCCTGCTTTCTTCCCGCCGTCCAGGCTGCGGAGATAAGGCAGAAAGTGGGGATGAAGGATAGAATGGCTAATACTCTGAAACCACAAGAAAGAGTCCTGGCTTTCGTCTCTGCCCCACAGCTCAGACACGCTTTTGGGGCCTCTGGGAGAAGGGGGCTGCCCCACCCCCACCCCCACGGCTCTGGCCCAGGGGAGCTCAGAGCCCTCAGTGGGCTCCCCCGCCTTTCATCCCACCCCCCTTCCACTGCCAGTTCAACCACAAGCTTATCTCTGCCTTCCCACTCCCCTTCCCATCCCCAGCCCTCAATTTTCCCTTCCACACGAGCCCCAGCAGCCCTAGAGCTGGGCTCTTCCTCCTGTCACAAACTCCAGCTGCTCCTGGGCAGGTGACAGGGCCAGGCGTGGCATATATCCGCTTTGGGGGGCTCTGCTGCAGGGCTGGCTTCCCTTAGCCCCCAGGATCCCTGCTGGCCCCTCAGGAGGCCCTGGCTCAGCCTGAACCCTGGACACAGACCCACTAACCAAGTGCCAAACCCTGA